TATACCATCCAGTACCCTGTACACCATCCAGTACCCTGTATACCATCCAACACACCGTGTACCATCCAGTACCCTGTACACCATCCAACACACCGTATACCATCCAGTACCCTGTATACCATCCAGTACACTGTATACCACCCAGTACCCTGTACACCATCCAGTACCCTGTACACCATCCAGTACCCTGTATACCATCCAGTACCCAGTATACCATCCAGCACCCTGTATAAAATCCAGCACCCTGTATACCATCCAGTACCATGTATACCATCCAGTACCCTGTATACTACCCAGTACCCTGTATACCACCCAGTTATTATGTTTACGAGACCTCATGTCTTATCAATGTGCAGAGAGTTCATACAACAAATGGCAACATGGTAAATGTTTGACACCTGTTGGGATTATTCCAGTTTTGGCTGGCCACATCTGGACAAACCAAATAAGGCAGTGCAGTCGATGAACCCTGAAACAGACGCCTGATTAACCCTTTAACCCTTTAGAGTTCACACATACATGAACCGGTCGAAAACGACCGGTTCGACTGACGTACTTAGAACTATGCGGGATGCGTACTCGCTGGTGCTGCGAAGCTGCCGCGATGGCCAAGTCTGCCTGACACATCCGCATTCCGCTTGAGTGCACACATGGCACGGGTTTACATTTCATTTTGTGTTGTACTGGGCCACAGGAAGTGTTCGAAAGCTTCCGGAATGGCGCACAATAATTTATCTGTTGACAAAGCGCTTGCCGCTGTGTTTTCTCATTCTGGATCCGCCGTGCACGATGAAGACTCTGATGGCGAGTCGTCAGGTGGCCTGCCGTCAAGGGAAGAGTCAGAGCTAGACAATGCTCTCATCTACGACCATCCAGTTGAAGATTTGGTCTCTGACGGCAGCGCTGATGATGGAGGAGAAGAAGCTTCAGAAGAACCGCTTTCAGCTGGGTTGTCACGCTCCTCAGCTGACACGAGTCACACATCAGCTGATTCAAGTGAAGAGGACGAGGCGCGCCTGCGACGCGAGAGCAGAGCTCCCACACGGCAGAGAGGACGAACTCGATCTCCGCGTGCTCCTCGTGGCGGAGTTGGCGCAGCAGGCGGTGGACGTGGAAGATTGGTACGCGGAGGTGCCGCAACCGCTCCTGTGCAGGGCGAAGACAATGTCGGCGACTGGGATAGTGATGATGAGTGTCCTGACCAGCCTGAGTTTCGTCCTGCCCGTGAACCTGGCTGCCATTTCCCAGCTGGTTTTGTGCCTGTGAAGGAGTTGGATTTCTTTCACCTTTTTGTCACACTTGGCATTGTTCAAGCTATTGTGGAGTTCACTAATGATAATGCTGGTATCCACATCCTGGAAAAACCGTCCTATCAAGATGACCGTGGCGCTTGGAAGCCCACGGACACAGCGGAAATTTATGCTCTACTTGGCCTGACAACTTACATGGGTATTGCTCGACTGCCACATCCATCTCACTACTGGAGCACCTCTAATCTCTCTCCTGGGCTGTGAGCACGGCATATAATCCCGACCTTTATTCGCTACAAAGCTCTGCTGTGTTTCCTGAAATTGAAGAAGCCAAAATTGATACACAACTACAATTTCGCTATGGGTGGAGTGGACCTGTTCGACCAGCACGTAGCGACGTACAGGGTGCTGCGGGAAACACGAAAGGGCTGGAAGACTTTTTTTCTTTTTTTGACTTTGTGGATGTAGCTGTGGTGAATTCATGGGTTCTGATTCAGCAGTGGGTGGATAAAAACCCAGGCGTCATCAAAATGCCGAAGGATTACAGTCAGCTTGACTTCCGTCTTGCAGTTATCCGGCAGCTTGTGAACATCACTGACAAGACCAAGGTTAACATCACTGACAAGACCAAGGTTAACATCACTGACAAGACCAAGGTGCCCACTGACAAGACCAAGGTGCCCACTGACAAGACCAAGGTGCCCACTGACAAGACCAAGGCGCCCACTGACAAGACCAAGGTGCCCCTTCGAAAGCCCGGACCATCGACCAGCACGGCCAAGTCTGAGAAGAAGCACCATGGCATTATCAGCACTGGTAAAAGGCGGGGTTGCTCATACTGCCGAGGTGCTGGAAGGAAAAGCGCAAAGAGTGTTTATGCCTATTCCGTCTGCACACATCGAAAAGGCAATCCGAAGCACTACTGCATCAAGAAGAAGCAGAATTACTTCCCAGGCCCACCTGGACAAACCTGTAGATTGTGCAGAGTGCATCAGAGAGTAGAACAAACGGATTATCCCCATCAGGCTAACCAGTAGTTGACCGAGATGTTCAGAATACCGCATTTTTTGCAATCGTCAAAATTCATTTGATTGGCATTCCATACATAATCGCTCTTTTTCAGTGTAGTTGTTTTATCTGATGCAGTGTTCTTATAGCTTTCGGAAAAACATAACTTGTATATACATCATATCAACAGGTAACGCGGTGTATTATATCTCCCGTGGCATATGCATTCCGTATACTAAAAAGTCATAAAAATCTGAGTACTTCGCACCGCATGGATGCACATGGCTGTAGGGGCCGCACCTCCGTCAGGGTACAATCTCTCTTATTTTCATTGATCTCAATATCTACAACTGAACACTCATCATGAAACGAGTGCCGATCTCGAAAACTAAACTCTGAATTTCTAAAATATCCAGAACCTATTCTTACTTTGTAGCTTTCTTCAGAGCGTCCTTTTCCTGCTGCAACCGATCCTGAAACAAACACACATGTAGATGCACATACACAGACAGACATTCACCATAGATCAGAAGCAAGGTTTGAAGTCCAACTCAAATTTGTTGACTCTATCCTGTACCGTGTATAGCTGTTCTAGCTCAGACTCCCACAGTCGATGACAACATGTTCTACCTAGGGCAAGATTGCATTGTCGTCTAGCACAGCACATCATCACACATGTATGTGGAGGTAGATACAGTCAGACCTCGTTTATCCGGTCCTCTTTTATCCGGATCCCTCGCCATCCGGAAGAAAATCGTTGGTTACCGATTTACAGCATATGTCATGCATACATACAGTATGTGTGTTCGATTATCCGGTTCCCTCGCCTATCCGGATATTTTTGTGGAAAACGGATGTGTGCGGTTATGAGAGGTCTGACTGTAGTGTAGTACGACCGGTACAACACTGGTACAGCACTGGTACAGCACTGCTACAACACTGGTACAACACTGCTACAGCACTGGTACAACACTGCTACAGCACTGGTACAACACTGGTACAACACTGCTACAGCACTGGTTCAACACTGGTACAGCACTGCTACAGCACTGGTTCAACACTGGTACAGCACTGGTACAGCACTGGTACAGCACTGGCACAGCACTGGTACAGCACTGGTTCAACACTGGTACAGCACTGGTACAGCACTGGTACAGCACCGGTACAGCACTGGTACAGCACCGGTACAACACTGGTACAACACTGGTACAACACTGCTACAGCACTGGTAGCAACATACAAAGCTAACAAGAGCTCTATGCATAAGTAGTACAAAAAGTAGGACTGGTACCTTTGTGTCTGATAGTGTCTTGCGTAGATAGTCACTCTCCGAGCGTTCATGTGCTAAATCTGCCTCCACACTCTGCAAGAACAGAATAGTAGCACAGCACGAGAGCAGCGGCAGCACCAGCACAACCGCAAAACAAACACGAATTGTTTCATGATATTCGGATTTATAGGATTGTGATATTGCCTAAGCGCCATCAAGTTATGTTGGCAGATTAGAAGGAGATGAGGTACGTGTGGTGGGGGCGGTGCAGGGGGGGGGGGGGCTGAAGGAGTACTTGTCGGGGAGGGGGGGGGGGTGAAGGATTACTTGTCGGGGGTTGAGGGATTACTTGTTGGGGTCTCAGGGATTACTTGTCGGGGGGGGGGGGGGGGAGGGGGGCTGAGCGATTACTTGTCTGGGGGGGGGGGGGGGGGGGGTGAAGGATTACTTGTCGAGGTTGAGGGATTACTTGTTGGGGTCTCAGGGATTACTTGTCGGGGGGGGGGGGGGAGGGGGGCTGAGCGATTACTTGTCTGGGGGGTGAAGGATTACTTGTCGAGGTTGAGGGATTACTTGTTGAGGTCTCAGGGATTACTTGTCAGGTAAGCACACATTATTCTTGTGACATGGCTATCACAGTAACTTCATTTCATTGAATTCAGCCATGGATATGTGTATAATGATAATAATTATCAGACAAAGCTAACACAACATGCTTACCGTGAGTCTGCCGGTTTTGCGGCTGATATCTTGATCCTTGTTGGTGATGACATCTTGTAAATGTTTACGGGCTGTTTCCGCCGAGTCACGTAGTTGACGCATTACCTCAGCTTGATCCTAACCCAGATACCACAAAACAAGTACCGAATTCAAAGCAACGACATAAGTAAACCTTGGCGGCTTATAAGTACGGAGTCTTCAAACATCCGTGAACTGGCTCTAGCATGCAAACCAAGTGCTTGAAGAAAACTTCAACTTCTAATTCTCATTTCACAACGCTGTGCCTTGGTAGAACCATAACCAGTGGTTAGATGAAGGATTCTTGATGGAAAGAACAGGCATAGAGAACTTTGACAGTGCAGATCTACGCAATAATGAGATTTCCTTTACCTTCTGTGTGTCAAGGTTAGCTTTGAGGTTGGCTATCTCATCTATACGATCTCTGAGTTGAGATCGTAAATCCTGAAATGTAAAGACAACACCAAAAGCACAACATGGCGTAAGTGACACAAAATCACAACTTCCATAAACCAGCATACTATTCGGCTTGTACATTCCATAGACCAGCATAGTACTACTAGTACTAGTACTGGGCTTGCAGATTCCTACACCAACACCATTTTTACTATACCCGTATGGCAAAGGAAACAGAAACATCGATTTGGGGCTGTGGTGGTGGTGGTGCTGATGGTTTACTGCAGGCTGTGGTGTTGGTGGTGCTGATGGTTTAGTGCAGGCTCTGCAGACCAATAGTCTTGGCATCATCACCTAGTACATACCGTTGGATATTGATATCATCTATCACCACAGGCAAATAGTGTGTGCGGAATGTGAGACTTACAATTGCTGTGGACTCCAAGCTGGAAATCCTTCTCTCCATGCTTGATTGCGTCTCCAGAGCTAGTTCCTGTACATCACCAGCACACCAGAACACACAACCAGTGGATAGAGAACCAGAGAGTGTAGAATACAGACAGTGGATACGTATTATAATGATTTCGTGTTGTGAGTGGTTGTACTAGAGAGACCTGTAGAGATACTGTACATTGCACTTGGTCCGCGTCAGCAATATTGTCGCTTATCTTTCGACAATTTGAACTTAGACTTTGGACATGAACGCGTGCACTTGAAGTGATAAAACTTGGTACGATGGACGGTAAGGTATAGAATGACAACTAGCTGTAAGGAATTTATTGTCCAAGGAAGGGTTCCTACTTTTATCGGTCTTCTTCGTCGCTGCTCTCGACGCTGGTGACAAATATTTTTGCTCGGGTTCGACTCTCTTGCTTTTGCAAGCTCATCTCTCTTCCTCTCCGCTGCCTGGCTATTTTCTAAACAGAGGTCGATCGTGACGGTCGCCTTCTCTATAGGACTTCGCGTGGGCAGTACGACAGCCTGTGTGGTTCAAATCAGACGCCGTTCTTTGCAAGATTTATTTTGAACGACGATGACGACGCGTACAGTACTTGCAAATCTCCACGACGCGCTGGATACTCCGAGCGTTGAGTTGGAGGTAAGGGAGCTGAGATCTCAGCTTGACGAGCGATCCCTGAGGTGAGCGATCTCGGCCGTTCAGCAAAATGGAGCTGATTTCGCGAGTAGCCGATTACTTTCTTGTGGCTTGCGCTGCTCTTGCCTGCACAGCGTAACAAGATAATCTATTTTGATTCGGCGCTGTATCAAACAGAATCACCCACCCGTCGCTCTCGAAATCCACTCGAACTGTAGCTAGACCTTTCAGGTACTAGTAAACTAACTTATTAACCAAAATTGGGTTGAAATGGGCTGCCGAGTGAGCTTTGGCGACATATAAACAAAGCTGAAAGATAAGCGACAATATCGCTGACGCGGACCAAGTACATGTTCCAATAGATGAAAACCATTCGGAAGGGTGTTGTGCTGTGAACGGTGTTGTGCTGTGAAGGGTGTTGTTAATTTAGTCCAATCTGACTGTTTGCATGACCAGATAATCATCCTGGGAGCTGTGAGGTGATTCCTAATTCAAACTTTGTGTTCAATGTTTGCACAACCTGAGCATTGACGTGCAACGGTGCGTTCAGAATGCCCCCACCTATGTCAATGGCTAACTGTCAACTGATAAAAGGAAAGCGGCAATAACGTTTTACAATAAATTGCAAAAATGTTTGCAACTTTCTGATATCCTTACCTCACGTTTCTGTTGTGTTCGTAGCATTCTTCGTAGAGATTTGTTGTTGATGTCAAAATCAGTGAGTCTCCGGACTAGATCATCTTTCTTCCTCTCCAGCTCCGCGTTCATAACTACACTGGCTCGTTTGTCCTGTCACAAATGATAGAGCAAAACAGAAAGACACACCAAAAACACTAGACTTCTGCGTAATAGACCACTGCATAATGGTTTACTGCGTAAGGCCATCATTTTTTATATCTATGTTTCGCGTCGTCCGCACGCATACGTTTTAATTTTTTTCGGAAAAAAATAAAAAAATCGAACATGCACAGTGAGTGTACGATCGTGCGAGTCATCAGTGTGGACTGGTTGCATACGGCGAAGCTGGGATTCAGAATTGGCCTCGAGGCCAGCGTTGATAGATCGTTTGTCCTGCATCTGCGAGCAGAATTCTTTGAGCTTACACCAGACCGCAACGATCGCCTCAAGCTGAGAGGATGCGTCGTTTCGGAGCTCTTTGCACCGCTGCTGAAGGCTGAGTACAATAATCCAGCGAAGCATGGGCACCAACGGTTGCCTCCTCTGTCCAAAGTGAAAATTTACTCTTGCTGATAACCCAGATTTTGTGCTTCGATGTACGATTTTTCTTTCGAATGTACACCATGCACGAGCTATTGACAATAGTCAATAGGGTTTGTAGTATGTACAGTGCTATACACCTGATCTGATGATCCTTTTTATTATTTTGCAACTTTTTTATTTCTTTCCACCTCTCGCATATGATTCTGGAAGTTGAACTGACGCGAAACATAGATATAAAAAATGATGGCCTAATAGACCATTACGTAATGGTTTACTGCGTAATAGACCATTACGTAATGGTTTACTGCGTAATAGACCATTACGTAATGGTTTACTGCGTAATAGACCATTACGTAATGGTTTACTGCGTAATAGACCATTGCGTAATGGTTTACTGCGTAATAGACCATTACGTAATGGTTTACTGCGTAATAGACCATTACGTAATGGTTTACTGCGTAATAGACCATTACGTATTGGTTTACTGCGTAATAGACCATTGCGTAATAGACCATTGCGTAATAGACCACTGCGTAATGGACCATTGCGTAATGGTTTACTGCGTAATGGTTTACTGCATAATAGAGCATTGCGTAATAGACCATTGCGTAATGGTTTACTGCGTAGTAGACCACTGCGTACTAGACCACTGTACTGCGTAATGGTTTACTGCGTAATACTTCCTCCGCGTCGTTAAAATTGTCGCTTCCCAGAGCGATTTTTCGAATGTATTTCGTCCACTGGTAGGGCAAAGAAATCAGCTAGAAATTGAGGCAGAGCATTGTCGACGGACCAAGCTTTAGTTTGTGGCCTCCCGCTTCGCTGCACGTGCAGCTAAGGTCGACGTCTTGATCAGAGTTTGATGCAGACCCTTCAGCACTCAACAATTCGCTGAACAAGACATTCAAATTCAAGTCAAGAAACTTGGTTTTCAAGCGATCCATGCCTCCAGGTGGCAGGCGATGAAGGCAAACTATCACTTTTCAAGTACACTGTAACGGCCTTCCGGTGGGGTAGGGTAAGCAGTTCCGCACCTTCTTTCCTTGGCAAGCGCTTCGCTGATTTTGTTGGTATTTTCAGACCTGCTACATTCGCAACAATATGCGCCACACGTAGCGCATTTTAGGAATTTGAGAACACTTTGTTCTTGCCTTCGTCAACTTCAGCATTTCGCATTCAGGAAAGATACCAGGATTCTTATACACGAGCTTGTAGTCGTGATAAATGCCCACGCGAACGATGTGGGACGGCACGAACTCCAGAAAAACGATATGCGCTCTGGGCGGAAAAGTGCGGAGCGCGATGAATTTGCTTGGTGCGGAAGAGAGCTCCGACAAAGTCCGAGACCACCACGGCTTCAGTAACAAGTGGACATTGCGCAGGAAGGATCGCTGCAATGTTCGAACACAGAAAACAGCGATTCCGACAGTCTGACTAAGACGAGCCAAGTCACAAACATTGCGATGTGCGAAGCGACAATTTTAATGACGTGGAGGAAGTAGACCACTGCCTAATGGTTTACTGGCCAATAGACTAATGCGTATAAGGCTACTGTGAAATAGCATGGGTATATAACTATACCTGTCAGATAAAGCCCAATACTATCCGTGGTTGGATACTCACAGCTTCAAGTAACGCAACCGTTCTTTTGAGTTCGGAGGCTTGCTGTGCTGCCGCTGCCCCATCCAACTCAACTTCCAGTAACTTTCTCAGTAACTCATCTCCTTCACGTCTGAAATCATTCACACCAATACACAACACATACACATTGTAGGAGAGCAGCTTCACACATGGCACCCACCAGAATCAGGAAGCAGCAGTTGGTAGTCAGTATCTCCAGGAGTAACAGCTATGTTTTATTTCTCAAAGATCTGCAGAATATCTGCCCGATAGCTACCAGAGGGCACATTTCTGGTTTGATTTGCAGAGTACACATGCATTGAGTGCTCTTTCCAGTTCAAGCAAATACAAAATAGGAATATGATATTATTTCGTCCATGCACTCACACTCACACTCACACACTATAGCCAGGTACAGTCCATGCACTCACACTCACACACTATAGCCAGGTACAATGACAGAGTCTCCACTTAGAACACAATAATGCACTGAATCACACCAGGCTACATCAGTCCATGTCGCTTGCAACGCGTTTCTATTGACTCTAGAATCCAACTCTCCATGTCTTCGGAACAAATACAGTGCCAGGGAAGTACCCATGACATATGGGACATCACAATGATCTGGATGAAAACATTACATTGCACTACTGCGCATTATGTGTTACCACACGACTCGACTTTTTCAAACGCAACCCCCCTACTTTCTCTGTTGCTATCTACAGGCCAGCTACTGAAGGGTCTCTGAACAAAACATCAGGCCCCATAGCACAGAGAGTGAAAGAGAGAGAGAGAGAGAGAGAGAGAGAGAGAGAGAGAGAGAGAGAGAGAGAGAGAGAGAGAGAGAGAGAGAGAGAGAGAGAGAGAGAGAGAGAGAGAGAGAGAGAGAGAGAGAGAGAGAGAGAGAGAGAGAGAGAGAGAGAGAGAGAGAGAGAGAGAGAGAGAGAGAGAGAGAGAGAGAGAGTGAAAGAGAGTGAAAGAGAGTGAAAGAGAGAGAGAGAGAGAGAGAGAGAGAGAGAGAGAAACAGAGAGAGAGAGAGAGGAGGGGGGGGGGGGGAGGAGACAAAGTTGCAATGCTCACTTGTGTCTATGTGCCGATACTTCTAATCCATTCATTGACCGCCGCAGTCGAGCTGACTCCAGAGTTGCATCTAGTAATTCCTCTCTAGCCACCTGGGAGAATGGAAATACACAACCGCACAAACACAGACAAACACACACACACACACACACGTACATAGACAAAACAAGAGAGAGAGAGAGAGAGAGAGAGAGAGAGAGAGAGAGAGAGAGAGAGAGAGAGAGAGAGAGAGAGAGAGAGAGAGAGAGAGAGAGAGGGAGGGAGGGAGAGGGAGGGAGAGAGAGAGAGGCAATGTCAGTGTAATAATGGCATCAGAGATGGATGAGCCGTGTCCCTATGCTCGTTTTACTGAGGTACACCTCGTCAACAACTAGCCAATAGGTACATACTCTACATTATTGTTTAGTTTAGGATAAGCAATGAACAATGTTTTCATCATGGTGTGCAGATATTGTTCCCCTTCTCCATGTGATGTTTTGTTTCTCCGGTAGCTGTTGTACCAGTAGTATGCATTGTGAATAGCTACACAGAGGCTTCATATACACTGCCGGCATAGAGCCAGTCTTAGCTTATGCACAATGTACTGGTCCTTGATGAATGAGAACCCTATCATGCGCGACCCATTGCCATTGGATGAAGCGGAAAAAGTGACCTATTCGCCAATCTGTTGTATAGATGAGAAGCGATCAACCTAGAGTATGTTGTAAGAAGCAATTAGCATAGAGTATGTTGCAGTGCTCTAACCTGCAATGCTGTCTCTTTCTCCGCTAAGTGTCTTCTTGATCTGTCCAACTGTTCTTCTGTCCTCTGTGCATGCTTCAAAGACCGCTGTAGATCAACCTAAACACACAGACACACATCATGATGATCATCATCATCATTGTCATCATCATCATCATCATCAGCAGCACCAGCAGCAGCAGCAACAGCAGCAGCAGCAACAGATGGATACGCAGAGCAGAGTGAGATTCATCAGAGTAAGCGGATACTGAGCGCAGACAACACCGCAAATGTGCAAAGAGAGAACAGGGTGACGAAAAAGGTAAGTTAAGTCAGTACAGTAGAACGTTGATTATCCGACCACCACCACCTCTGGGCAGCGGGCCCTGGGAAAGTGTTCGGGTGACGAAATATTCCGGATAAGGAAAATCTCACGACAGGCCGATGCCTGTGTTTGGTATATCACAGTACCCGCAACAACACTCGTGTTCACGTTAGTTTTTTGTAAGTTTTGTAAGTGTTTGACTGTGCAGCCTGTACACAGTGGTACAGGCAGTGAGTGAGCGCTGCAGAAACTACCTTTTCGTGCAAGCTCCGTACGAAAATGTGGGCCTGATGCATGCGCGGTTCGAAAAGCCATTCAGGATAATTGAATGGTCGGATAATCGATGTCCAACTGTAAGTTCAACCGACAATCTTGTGTGTTTGACTGTTCAACAACCACTTCAGTCGATCATTGATTACAGCAGCAGCAGCAGCAGCAGCAACAGTAGCACACCGAGACGAGTGTGTGAGAAACTCAACTCAATCTCTACACAACAATCCATCAGCACACCATGCGGTCATTTACAAATGCTAGGGTGCACAAGGTTGTGCATGTGGGATTGCCATCAAGTATGCACTCTTGTGGATAAGCAGTGCACCATCCTACTGCTGCTGATAAGCAGTGCACCATCCTACTGCTGCTGAAAAGCAGTGCACCATCCTGCTGCTGCTGCTGCTGCTGCTGTTGGTGGTGGCGGTGGTGCTGTTGGTTCAGTTAACGGTTGAGAGAGTGGTGTACTTACCTCATTCTTTAGACTTCCAACTTCTGACATCAGTGAGTCGATCTTTCTTTCACATGCCTGTCAATACAAGTGGACATACACCCAGAACATACACAGTACACACACACACAGCACACATACAGAGAACATACAGAAAACACACAGAGATACAAGGTCAAACAATTTATAGATACAAGGTCAAACAATTTATAGATACAAGGTCATAAAGGGTAGTAATGTACAAGCCTGACAGTAGTGATGTCATACCCATCAATGATGGACATCAGAGACCACCCACATATTATGTTTCCATTTCAACCAGGAGGAAGGTACAGTCAGACCTCGCTTATCCGGTCCTCTGTTATCCGGTCCTCCGTTATCTGGTCCTCTGTTATCCGGATCCCTCGCCACCCGGAAGAAAATCGTTGGTTACCGATTTACAGCATATGTCATGCATACATAAAGTATGTGTGTTCGATTATCCGGTTCCCTCGCCTCTCCGGATATTTTCGTGGAAAACGAATGTGTGCGGTTAGGCGAGGTCTGACTGTACATGCATGTAGAACCTTGTGATCTACCTTTCTTACAAAGGTTTTCCTGGAGAAAACACCGAACAACAGCTCACAGCCAGTGACACTAGCAAAGTTATTACATCATTACAGATATATTCCTTACCCGTACGACATCACTATCGGAGTCTGACAGATCACTGAGTCTTAGCACTGTTCCATTATGCCCAGCTGTCTCTGCTAGACCTTTAGTAGGTGATAGGGGTCGGTGTACTTCAAGACGATGAGTTGGGCCCTACATTCACACACACCGCATACACACATACACACATGCACACACACCGCATACACACATACACACACCGCATACACACATACACACACACCGCATACACACATGCACACACAGCAACATTATACAGGCATGTACACCCATGGTAGAGTTTCAAATAATTATGCCAGCGCTGCTGTTGTTACGCAGAGGAAAGTAAACAAATTTTCTACGAGAAGCAAGGCTCATTTCAAGCACAGCTGTACGGCAACCATTGAGACACCGACACAACACTCATGACAGCCTGCCGTTGCACCAGCAATGTCATAAGATAGCAACGGCACAAGAAACAGCGGTGCTAGGAACAGTGGCAGCATGACCAGCAAGGACAGCATCGAGGGTGGCAACAGCCGTAGAAACAACAGAACGAATAACGGAAAGGTACAGTATCACTTCTAACTGCACAAGATAGCGAGCAGCAGCAGAAACACCACTTCCATCATACTACCCACAACAGAGTGTGCACAGTTCTTATCAAATGACTCCTTTGCCTTCCTAAAAACCTAAAATTCTTGTTGAAAGCCTCTTCACATACTGTTACAAGTGCAGCACAATGCATGGGCGACTAGTGCAGCACAATGCATGGGCAAGTAGTGCAGCACAATGCATGGGCGACTAGCAGAATAATCCAATGACATTAACTGTTATAGCAGAGCCTCTAGATCTAAAAAGGTGGTTTACGTGTCATCTTTGAATCGCTTTGACTATCTCTATAGCACTACTGACATTGCTCTAGTCATGACTATCTCTATAGCACTACTGACATTGCTCTAGTTGACTATCTCTATACCACTACTGACATTGCTCTAGTCATGACTATCTCTATACCACTACTGACATTGCTCTAGTCATGACTATCTCTATACCACTACTGACATTGCTCTAGTCATGAAGAGCAATTTACAGAACACCTTAATCAAACTCATCATCTATCACAGAGTTACGGATGTTCGAAAACCTGTGTTTATACCTCTCAATACAGTACAGCCAATTTTCAGATGCGCTTTTCACAACACTGAACAAAACCACACAAGCCAGCTTTTTCGTATCTAAAGGCTCAGTTTTAGATTGTCCAGACTTCTACACTGCTTTACCTGCCAAGATAGACTTCCAGTGGCTGACTTCCCAGGTGGAGGTATCCATGTTGGTTGAGCAGGCTTAGAAGTTCTAAGTTTCTGACTGCTAGATGCGGTTGGTCTCTGATATGACGATGACATTGCGGAGGACGATCTCAAAGACTGGAATAATCAAGTTAGAAAACATTAACAAACACAGTCCATGGGGCCATTGCGTTGCTTTGAATAACGTGCCACTACTCACTGCAAGTATACAATTATAATCACCAAGTTGACATGCTAACACATTCACCTCTATTCCATGGCTCTCAGCACTAGAATAAGCACGTCTTTGCACACCACAGCTGTTATACATACAGCGTCGATATCACTATAGCCGAGAACTGTTGTGATTTTGGTGCTACACATGCATACAAGTACATGCTGTGCTAACATGATACGATTAGATGGTTTGGCAATGTCATCATACAAGACGACATGGAGAGGATGTCTGTCAGCATTGCACTACACGACTGGATCCACCTTTCTTTGCTCTGCAAGGAGTTGCGATGAATATCACCAACTACTTGACACGATCATCAGTAGATCAGTAGATCACAGGCAATAGTACACCACACATGCATTCATACTCTAAGTGCTGCTAACCTATAGCTGGGAAAGTGCCATGTGTTGTGTTCCTCTTTACACACACAATGATGTTGCCTGCATCCCGACAATATGACTGTCATAGGATTATGGATTGGGGAGAGAGTCGCATGCTTTTGTAAGTCAATTTGCATGCATAATAATACACTGTATTTAAACACTGTATTTCGTACCATCCACGTAGAAAAATCATAACTTAGTTGGGGTCACGTGAAATGAAATACCAACACCGCCACCACAACTAACGAGAAGAAGAAGCAGAAAAGCAATGTTTGCTCTTCATTACAGTACTGTCAATCCGAGTATACCCCCCCCCCCCCCCCCCCGATCCAAGTATACCCCCCCCCCCCCCCTCCATCCGAATATCCCCCCATACAAGTATACCCCCCCCCCCATCCGAATATCCCCCCATACAAGTATACCCCCTCCCCCCAATCGAATATACGTGTAACTGACCTTTGCTGTCGATGCATTAGACGACCTGCCTCTCTTCTTGACGTGTACATGTACGGGTGTGCTTTCAGCTACATGTACGTGCAGCGGTGACTTAGTACGGTCCAGGAAACTACTGTCACGCAGGGACATCCCAATGACTGATCCTAGACACCTGTCCCAATGTAGAACAGGAGAAGACAGAAGTATGCACGTACGCATACACACACATACACACCCACGGGCATACCCACATATGCACACACATACACGGACATACACAGAGACACACACACACACGGACACACACATAACGTATATCAAACACACAATACTACTTGCAGTAAAATGCTGCTCAATGAAATCCAATGCCAATACGGCATTAGTGAAGTATGCGCCCTGTACCAGTTGACCATAGCAGTGTTTCCAAGCTAGGTCTGCACAGTGCTGAAGTATTGCCAAGTGTTGTTGGTGGATGGGAAGAATTTTACATCGGAGCAGCAAAGCAAGTTCACAACGATGAAAAACTATATCTGTGGACTCCACTATATAACTTAGTCGGATTAGCGGACCAAGCCGAAGAGTGCCTGAGGAGGTGGGAAGAAGTCCATTTCGAAGTCAAGGCATTCGGGGCCACAGAGCTGCAACGGGTGTTTGACACGAGAGTGATCCGCATGCTTCGCACTACTGCCAATGCCTGTGAAAAGCATGGCAACGAACAGGCCGGCTGCATGGCTGACTTCAATGATTAATTGGAGGAGACTGGCATTCCTGTCCAACTTGCCGAGCTACGTGGTAACCGCAGCTATGTTTGCTCCTACAACGGAGCCGGAGTGTACTATTTGCGAGAGACCCTTCTACACTTCCTCCGGGATATCCATGGCTAGGCCAATCTGTTATTGAAAGCTGTGAAGGCCGATCTGTACGTAGACGAGCTCTGTGCAGGTGCCAGAGCACTTGGTTCAGTATTGAAGCTTGTTATCACCCCCGTGTTCTGAAATATTCGGGCTTTCGTTGTTGGTCCAACTTCTCTCATTGCCTGCTGTCTGTTATTGTCCTCATCTTTCCTTGTGCACTTTCTACGAGATATGATTTGTTTCGGCAGCATCAGACAAGAGAGATTATTGTGCGATAGAAGCATGCGCACCATGATATCGGCACTGAGCAAGATGCAGACAACGGCACAGAGTCCAGTTTCAGGATCCATTGCTGCGCTACAAGCTCAAACCTCCCTTCATCTAGCTTTCAAACAAGCACCCTGGTTCCAATGAAGCTCCCAGTACCAAAAACTCTGCTGATTGCCACGTACATGTTCAACAGAAAATAAAATTAATTTAAAAATTCAAAAAATCAAATTCAAAAAATGGACATGAAGAAAAAACCTCTCCAGCACGCAAAAATATTCAGCGGATCAAGCGATGTGACCAACCGCTTCATTCAGCACAAGCCACTTCCAGCGCAAGCCGAAAACGGCTTGTTTGGTGTGACCGCGGCCTAACCAATGGCCTTCCAACTTGGAAGATTCATGGATATTAGCGATAATTCCAAAGAGGGAAGATAAGCGCCATCAAGCCGAGCACAAGCTACAATCCAAGGCAAGGTGGAATGCTAGCTGGGTACGGTAATAAATATCAGTACTTGCGGATGGCCCCTAACTGAATTTGAAAATTAATTTTCATTTGGTATCCTACAGACTGTGTTTACTCCTTACGTGGAGTTTCAAGACATTCTGGTGAAGTTCATTGGTTGCTATGTGTTGCTAAGGCTGGTCGGAAGAAGCCTTTGGTACCATGCAATGTATATGCTGGTATGATGAAATTGACGCGACACTTCAAATCACCATAACTCTGTTGTTTTTCAAGATATCCACTTCAGATTTCGGTTGCTACTTTATATTATCTCATAGGTTTCAAAACACCGCTTAGAAAGCTGTAAACATGAAAAAAAGCATGTGAGCTCACTACTAGTAGATTAGTTTTGATTGCTGATGTTTTACTGGTTGCCAAGGGGACATGACGCACACTGCCTAACTGCCAAGCTAAATAAATAATTGCCCATCAATATGGCTCGACACCTTGAATTGAACACTCAGAAGAGCCGGCTACAAGTACAACCTTTGCACACTCACATACATGTACACAACGAGGTGTGACTCAGATTCTAGTTTGTGCTTGCTCGTTATTATTTTTGTGAAATAAATTAATTTTCACACTGTCTTGTTTACAAAAATGTACACCGTCCACAAAAATATATAATTATTGAGTTTGGCTTCACATCTAGCTTTCACCTTGATATAACACTATTGCAAACTGACAAATTTATCACCAACAAACTACATCATTGGACTTGCAACGTCTGCATGTTCCAGTGTTGGGAACGTACGCCCTCAGGCCTCACTCTCTGCTTCACACATGCATGCACCCTGTTTTCACTTACCGCTATCATCTACAGCTCTCTCCTCATGTCCGCCTCACTCAGCGCAAACTCGCTCAGAAATATCCCTAGCGGCTGTGTGTTGACACTTCGCTCGTCCAAGCACTCGCAGCTAGCGTGATTTGTAGCACTGACTATTCTCTCTCCGCTCAGCGCCGCGCTAATGACAGCACCAGATTATTTTGTCGTTGAACTGAAAGAAGTCGAACACGGCTAGACACAATTTTAGCGCCCAAGTCCACGCAGGACAGCTAACTATCAGAGAGTAGAATAGTAGTGTACTGTTGTTATGTGCAGCGGCAGGAAGTCCTATTCAAAGAAGAACAGCGCTATTGCTAGCACTTGCTTCTAAATCACCTCCACTGGCTCCAGCCTAGGTTGGCACGTACACCAATGTACACTGCTGTCACGTACTGAGTCTGTAGTGTAGCAGGGAGCGGCAAGGCTACGCTGAACGCAGCACGCTAGCGTCGCGTCGATTAGCCTTCTTCAAAAGATCGATATGACGACGTCTCCTAAATAGGCTCTCCAGGTCAGCGTTTTTGGATCCAGTGCTGACCCAAATCCCTGAACCGTTTAGAACTACCCCGCAGCTAGCACGACTGCGCCTGCGAACAGGGCAAAGGATGAGCTTGAAAGTAGTTGAATGCTGAACGAATCGTGTTCTTTGCGAGTATTATAATTCTTCAATAAGAGTGTGACTACAATGTACTAGTAGTAGCAAATATTTCAAAACATTTACTTCACGATAACACCAGGCTTGGCCGGGAACATTTTACGTCGTTGGGAGGTAGGCACAGTACTAGCCTGTCAATCAAAAAATCAGTTTGGATGTGAAACGATCGGATCGCGAAACAGGCTACTACATGTGTACTTACTACTACATGTACAAGTCATGTAGATCTACATGTAGTAATACTAATACTGCATGTACGAGGCATAGATGCCACCTCTCTCGTGTTTTGACATCTGCACTCTACCATGTGTACTACGTAACTCATTGTAGTCAGTCATGGAGTGCGCGTACGTAGATCTACGTACGTGCGGGCCGTATTATTTGAACACTCCATGGCAACCAGTGTGTTCCATGATCAAGCACGTGCGTTCGCTTCCTCTCTTCTGCTTCCAGTTTCGTGCTGGGCGATAGTGCACCGACACAAGTGAGTACCGTATGCATACAATCATGCGTGTCAGGTCCATTTTCTTTGCGTTCTTGACGAAACAAGCTTCATGACTTGGTAGTAAACGTTGTCGTGGCGCCCACTCTGATGAAGACCAGCAAAAAGCAGGCCCAAAGAATTTTATTCCAGTCAAATGAAACTGGATAAGGACTCGTAGCCCTTTTCCAAAGATGCTCGCCACTTTTCTCGCAACTTTTTGTTGCTTTGGAAGAAATCGCAGCTTTCGCAACACGACGAAACAGTTCCGTCCGCAGATTGAGTGTACCGGTGTGTGGTACATGTGCATAATTCTACATTTGTATGTGCGTGTTTGTGGTGCGTGTGTGAGCGCGTGTCTGTGTGTCTGTGTGTGTGTGTGTGTGTGTGTGTGCGGTGTGTGCGTGTGTGTGTGTTTGCCAGCTAGTTTGGTTGGTGGGTACACTTACATGTATGTCAGATGGTGTTTGGTATGTTGGGTATGTTGGGTATGTTGGGTATGTTGGGTATGTTGGGTATGTTGCCAACATTCAACGGGCACTTCTGTTTGCAGGTGTAATGTTGTGCCTTCCATCTTTGTTGGTTTCAGGGTTCACATACACATACATGTACTTTCAACAGTATTTGTATTATTCATGTACATGTACAGTCATGTATCTGGTCAACTTTGATTTAGCCACCCGCACGACTAGTACAGTAGCAAGTATTACCTTCACTGGGGATAGGGGTGAATGCAGTTGGATCCTGGGACGAATACTCTGATGCAGTCAATCCTTTTCTGCACATTGTCCTCACCCACTTACTGAGGTATGGTGAGCCCATAAATGGGATCATTTCCCCAGTCCACCCATAGATTAGGGATTTCGGAGGGTTTCGGCCGTTGGGCGGTTCAATAGCCAATTGAGTCATCTTTCCAAGATACCTTTGGAATCTCTCTTCCCATCTCCCGGAGAGACCCACGTGACCAGTGTTGGCAGCGAGCAAGTACAAGACAGTGTGTGTCTGTATGCGTTTGTGTGTGTGTGTGTGTGTGTGTTTGTATGCGTATGTTTGTGTAAGTGGGTATGGATGTAGAGGTTTTGCAGCTCGTACATGTATGTACATGTACATGATAACTGATTCATGGTGTCACTGTGTACATGGTGTCACTGTGTACATGGTGTATATGGAGTGGCAAATCCAGACTAGTAGACTGCTCTAGTCAACACGACTGATAACACAGCATGGGGCTGGGTTCCCAAAAATATGTTTTAAAAAGAAAATAGGACGAAACAAATCATTGTGAATAGAAACAAGAACACGATGAGCAACAAACGTACAGGAGGGAAGCGAGAAATGGCAACTAATCTAGCGAGATGTGGGCTTCCGACACTGCCAGAGTGTGCGACACCTCATTAGAAGCAGCACGTTGCCTAACACGAGAGCCATGCCAACAAGCAACGCAGGAACGCAGCAGAGCAAACGAAATCTTGCACGGAATGAAAGCCATGGCATGACTGTAAGGCATGGCTGTAAGGCATGGCTGTAAGGCATGGCTGTAAGGCATGGCTGTAAGGCATGGCTGTAAAACTACTACTAGTACTACCAGTCTAGTATAATAGTGCGTTTCAAAAGAGCAGATCTCTGGTTTCAAAAAACCGTTAGGCCAGCATCTATTATTCTATACCAAATAAAATCTGTGATCACTTTGTGCATAAAAGTTTCGAAATTGGGCGTCTGTTATCAAATCGCTTATAAATTTGTATGGTCCTCATGACGAAGGAGGACTCATAGCAGTAAGAATTGCGAGTCCTGGTTCCCTACATCACTACAAGCCATGTAAGAGTACTAGTACTGTAACATTATTACTAGACAATACCTCAAAGAACGTTATTGAAATTCCATGATTCTCCAGAATGATGAATAGAAGTATCCAAAGTTAACGCATATTTACAGGCAATCACTAATCGCAATCACTACGAGCGAAGTAGATCATTATTATACCATAGCGCAACTAAAAAGCAGCTAAAATTCGAAGACAAATACCTGGTACCATGTACCAGTACTGTTGCATTGTTGAAGTAAGACAATAAGACAGTGGTACATGAATGCCTGAATGTAACAGTTGTACTGATATTTCGGGGTGCTAGCAAGCTAGCTAGCTGGAACTGGATAATGGTTGAAGATGTCACTCCACATAATCATTCACCTTGTTCAGTAATCAGTCAAATACCGGGTAAACACACGCGGAAGATAGGATAACGACACCCATCGACACGTGTGGACATCCACGACTTGATCGAGATGATGAGAGGAGGTAACGCTAGATTTGCAAGATTAGAACTGTTTGCACCGAGATAGAGCGTGTGATCTTTTAAACATGTTCAAAGTGTTTAGACTGCAATCAGACGTTTTACAGACTATAGCTTCTTCTGGTCTTTGTGTTGACTTCTTCCTCTGCGGGTTAGACTTAGAGCTCCACATATACCGGTACTTGCAGAAAGTATCGCAGATCTCTATCCCAGCTCCAGGTCTGGCGAGACTGCGCACTTCCATTCATTACCGCTGTTATTATGTAGTGCAGACAACAACTGTACAAGAAACAACGGAGGGTACTGCGAAAGGGTAGTGTGGGACCGTAGACTGGTCCGTAGTCACCGCGTACCCTGGACCTCTTGTCTTTTGTGTGAGTTTTCATGTGCTCGTACATGACTAAGTCTTGTACTGTAGTTGTAGTACTACTACTAGTGGATCATTACGCTTACAACCGGTCATGCAGCACTACTACGTAGTACTAGTACGTTTTCTTAGAGGATATTATTGTCATGTTGTGTATTATGTAATCTGGTAATGCCATTGAGACATTGCTGATACAGCTGCATGAGTCAAGCTGTGCGGTAGGTAGCAGGGAGTCGTATAGAGGTCTATACGACTCCCTGGTAGGTAGACATGCCGGTACTGCCAGTACTGCCAGCAGTCTGAACGACGGACACTCTTCTTGCTATGCGGCATGCCTTGACAGACTGGTTTTAGACACATGGCCTGCCGCTGCTGTTGACAGTTTTCCAGGGAAGCGTGTCCTGAGACAAGTGCGAGCTAGCAGCATTACTGTCTGTAGCACTCTAGACTAGTCCATCCTCTAGTTCACGCCTTCTATTCACAATTCAACAATCAAATGGGAGGTTCAAAATTGATACCTGATAGGTTGACACTTGGCACACATGTAAGAAATGCGAAGTGTCAACAACAGGACTATGATTGTACAGACGGTCAGTGCAGTATCCAGGTACTAGTATCTGCCATGACCTACTGAGTCTGTATGCCCTAAACCAGGGAGTCGGGTTTTCACGACTCCCTGAAGGCTAAGCACTCCACACTCACAGACTGTACCAATGACTTGTCCATCCTATCCATGCTGTGTGAACATAGCCGTAACGTTATTATATCATTTATATGTACGATCCGTGCACAGCTTTTCTGCTAAGACTAGTAAGAGATTTTATACCATCATCCTGCTCACAATACTATGATGGTCTATCTGTGCGGACAGTCAGTGTTTCGTTCGTTTGTCAGGTAACTGGCAAGATCAGCACCACACAGGTATCGTGCCTACGCCAGGCCGGGATCACAGATGAAGATCACACTGATACGTATCTAAGATTGACTGAGTACTTGGTCAATGTAGGAAATAACAACCGAGTAAAAGACCGAGGCGAATCCGAGGTCTTTTACGAGGTTTTAATTTCCTATAGCTATACTGATCGAGCACGAAGTCAATATTAGGTTTATCACGACTAGCCAAAGCATGTGTTCAATCGCTAAAAAGGAGTAAAATATAAGCAGTCAATACAACCCTAGGGAGTGAAATGTGCAGGAATATTGCTTAGGTATGGCAAAAATCTATGGAAGTCAATGCTATTAGTATTACTACAGTACTACATGTACTAGAGTGATAATGATCTGATGACCGCTGCAGTCTGGAAACACTGACCATGCTGACTGTTCGCTTGCAAGGTGAAGCTAGTGAGACCTTCACTGCTGGCTTCAGTTGCTTGTCAGCATGCACATGATGCATGGTCAGCCAAATTTTGGTGTCACTTGCACTACCACAGTACCAGCGCTGCAGCATGACCGCGAACAGTAACCATGGTAACCTACCAGCGCTAGCTAGCATGCCACTAGCACTAGACTCGTGCACCGGTGCGGTGCTAGCCTATCATGCCCTATGTTGAAACTGTGCACTGCAGCACACCTACATGGCTGCATGTGATTTCATAGTAGGTCTAGTACTAGTAGGCTTGCACCCTCTCTTTGCAAGCTGCCACGCCATTTCAAGCAACTCGCACTGATAACACAGTTACTGTAACTGTTGATTCTGTTCTCGCGCTATCGCTGTGACATGTGCCACGGTTTGCTAATGTTGGTCGAATATTGCTTGAGCAAGTAGAGGTGTCGACGACTATTATCGAGTTTGATGCTCCTCATTGGAAATATTTCCATCAGCAACTAACTTGGCGGAGCGTGAGTCCTGATTCAGGAATTGCGGCTCTCAGGAGCTCTGCGGCTTGACCGTTACGGTGGGCGGTGAGGCAGAACATTAGTTTTGTCATGGTTTAGCGTTAGCAGCTAGTGTTTGATACCGGTGCGGAAATATTCGAGGAAGGGGACGGCAGGACAGCAGGTAAGATACTACAGAGCCCGGCATAATGTTTTCGATGCACTCCACTCTGTGGTGTCACTGGTTGTCAGTAGTTAGGCCTTGCTAGGTGAGACGTAGTCATTGGTTAGAGGTGATGCCATACCAGCCACGAGTCCTAACCATTCCTGCAATGAATTGTTCGAAGATGAACGTGTTTCAAAGTTGGTATTCGCAAGGATCAGTATAGTTCTCCCCCACCTCAGACACTCCTGAAAAAGTTTGAAGCCGTCACCTATAAATAAAAAAACGTGTCCCAGGACCCTGCTCTCAGTAGTGAAGATGGATGATTCATTGTCGTAAGGACAGGCCTACCCACTGGGCCAGTAGCATGGGTACTGTAGTCTCTGTAATTCCAATGCTCGCCCCATGGACAATAGTGTAGCTCTGATGCTGGCAACGTAGACCATAGTAGGGATCTCAGCGCGTGCAATTCACAGGCTGTTCGCGCAACATTGCGTCATCGAGTTTTGAGTGCAGCTCCCGGACACAGCTACAAAATGATGACGGTTGATTTTAGGCACTAGTAGAAAAAGTTACGATCGACACTAGCGGAATCGTCATCTTCATCGTCGTTTGAACACATGGTAATTCCCGCCAAGGCAAAAGACAGCATGGCCAAGGCGATATCGCCCAGGTCGATTTTCCTATAATTTGCCATGCGGCAAGAACCCACTTCAGAGAAGATTCAGTTAAAAATTCAGACGTTTTCTCCGGTTAGATTGTCCTAACTTCGATTCTCAGTGCATCAGCCATCGCGAACATCGCCGCCATTATCATTCAGAGAGAAGACATCGCTCTCAGCAGAGGAGGTGTTCACGCTGCGTCCAAGAGTGAAATATTGTGCTCTTTGACACTCCAGAGTTCCTCTGAGAGAGTGTCTAGGAGATAGGTAGCTTGAAGATTGCCATGGAATGTGCTTTCCTGGACGCAACATTCAGCCATTTCTACTGTCTTTTTCAACTTGATTTATTTCGAAAAATGTTCTTTTTACGGTTCCTGCATTGGACGCGTTTGGGATCGAAAATCTCACCTGCACAAACTGGCTGCGCAGTTCACGCGTTGACATCCCTTACCATAGTGTGCAAGGTTGGTACTCACCATATCACATGTTTACACCAAGGGACAGGACGTCAGGCTTCAGTTGAATGCATCAGGCTTCAGTTGAATGTAGAACGTTCTAGATTTTTTCTACGGGTGCCCATGGGTTCCAGTCTGGTTAGAATTGAAAAGCAAAAGGGTGGTGAAACCTAGTGCACTCAGCCGACCTGAGGTCTCGGCTTCATAATGAATTAGATGCAGCAGTATCTGGAATGAAAAAGTGAAGTATTGCATGAGTGTGTGTGGTCCAGGTGCCTGTGGTCAATAGGGAAAAAGGCATAGAGAGCATAAAGTGAATTGCAGGTCTGGAGCAGGTCTGGAGCAGGTCTGGAGCAGGTCTGGAGCCAGGTACAGTACAGTACAGGGGCATAGTAGCCCGTCCGGCCGGACCACTTTTTCGCCCGACCACGGCCAAAAATGCCCAGAATGCAGGATTTTGCACCCTAATTTCAAAATGCTCACAGGGTGAACCCTGGACCCCCTCCTGCCGGACCCCCTCCTGCTGGACCCCCTCCTGCTGGACCCCCTCCTGCTGGACCCCTCCTGCCAGACCCCCTCCTGCCGGACCACCTCCTGCAGAACCCCCTCCTGCCGGGCCACCTCCTGCCAGACCCCCTTCTGCTGGACCCCCTCCTGCCGGACCCCCTCCTGCCAGACCCCTCCTGCTGGACCCCTCCTGCTGGACCCCCTCCAGCCGGACCCCCTCCTGCTGCACCCCCTCCTGCCGGACCCCCTCCTGCTGGACCCCCTCCTGCCGGACCCCCTCCTGCCGGACCCCCTCCTGCTGGACCCCCTCCTGCCGGACTCCCTCCAACGGCGATGCTACGCGCAAGTTGTACCAGTGCCGCAAACCCTGAAAATGATGTGAATTTCTCTCCCGCCCGACTGCCTTTAGTAGTCACACTCGAGACAGGGCTGGTTTCTGCAGTCTAGTGTTTATTGTATTGATGCACCGGGCCTGTTCTGAGTCTGTTCTGAGCCTGTTCTGAGCCTGTTCTGAGCGTGTTCTGGGGTCAGCAAATCAAGACACTAATCATGATTGCACGTAGCACGGGATCTTAGGTTTCAAAGCATTCCACTTTGCGGTCCTAGGCCACATCAGTCCAGGTTATAGTCTGGTATTGTCAGTGCAGAGTACTGGATGCTGTGATGTGAGCAGTTCATTGGGAATGTTCATGGGCTAGTCACATTTACTGTGCGACCTGTCACTTTGACTATTCGGATCAAACTACGAAGCCACGAGATTCGAGACAGGGCTCTATTCCGGACAGGGGCTCTATTCCAGACCGGGCACTATTCGTGCGAGTACGGTAGACATTCCTTTTTTCACCTGTCATGAAGAAAGACATGGCTGTCAGTGACGATTCTGAAAACTGAGCACATGGCCAATCTATTTATGACGTTGGCACATTGTCATTTGCCACAATCAGGCTGGCAATGTTTAACCAGTATGTCGTTATCAAGTGGCAAAGTGTGATTGCGGTGTGACATGGATATTACCACACCAGCAATGTAAGGCAATTATAGTACATCACACGTTATGATGAATGTGGAGTCCATATTAGGACTACACCACGTCAATGTGTGGGGTAGCCTCCTGCTTGGTCAGGGGCAGCACCCCCCCCCCCCCCCCCACACACACAAACCCAAGTTTGTAAAAGCACTAAAAGCTGAAGTAAAGGACGTCATGGGCATGTATACTGGTAAATAGATGACAGCACCAATTGAGAATGAGCCGGCATGACATCTCGGAGTTTCCTTTCGTGCAGTGTACTGTAGGATAGCAGCTTCAGATTTCTTCTGCAGACTACTTACCCTAGACCAAAGCTTATTTCACTTTACTTATTCAGACTGCTTAGCCTAGATCTAAGATTCGAATGGCATGGTGGATTTTCAGGGTTAACACCAGCACTTTTCAGTGAAGTATGGTTCGTACATTGTTGCTGCATGCCGATCAAGGGAGTCAGCTTTGTGTCCTGTACGAATGAAAAGTTCCAGTATTTGCAGGTCTAGAGTTGCACAGTGCCAGAAGCACTCTACAATGCCATTTAGGTGAAGGTGTGGCATTGTTTGGAGTCTGGAAAGAAGGTGTGGCGTTGTTTGGAGTCTGGAAAACGCATCTCTTGGGAGTGTCTGGAGAGCACTCACATGCCTTTTCTTATAGCTGATGTTTTCTGTCAATTTGTTCTTCCTGTATTTGTCTTATCCACAGTGATCAGCCCGGCTACAGTGCAGCAGTCTACATTAGCGTACAGCAGTGTACAGCAGTGTAGAGCGGTTCTCAACAGCATGCGCAGATGATGGCAGTGGCAAGACTCTCAGCACGATTGCAACTGGGTGCTACCCTGTACATCGGTTTGGTAAGCCGGACATGTACTGACAGTACTGACAGTTCTACAGCTTTTTGATAGTTCCACTTGATCTGAACCCTGCCAATGGCAATATTAGTGCATGGCCTCAAATATGCATGACATGGCTGTCTTTGCAGCACCGTGAATAGTTTGGATGCTCAGCATGTATTCCAGCACTCCATGGCTGATGTGGATGCTCAGCATGTATTCTAGCACTCCATGGCTGATGTGGATGCTCAGCATGTATTCTAGCACTCCATGGCTGATGTGCATGCTCAGCATGTATTCTAGCACTCCATGGCTGATGTGCATGCTCAGCATGTATTCTAGCACTCCATGGCTGATGTGCATGCTCAGCATGTATTCTAGCACTCCATGGCTGATGTGCATGCTCAGCATGTATTCTAGCACTCCATGGCGGATGTGCATGCTCTCCAGGGAGTCATAGCATACTGGGAGATGACGCGAGGTACTACACAAACCATGTGCATTTCGATTTGCGTTTCGACCCCGGATTTGAATTTTCTACGTGATTCATAGCCTATTTGACTCGCGATCACAACTGTGGTCTTGAGCTGCTGTCCCAAAAAATGGCCAAGAAAAGCGATGTCATATGTGAGCATGATTGTATTAATTGGTCCTGCACCAAGGGCGATTGCAACGGGCAGCCCAGGAGAGAAACCGGTATGATTTAGCGTTACAGTTGCCCGTGTTGTCTACGTATATGCTACGAATCCCTAGTGCTCAGTATATACCTCAGAACTCCCGGGACAGTGTGGGTACTCGCGTATCTATTCCGGCATTACATGGCTCAATATATACAGGGTTCTAGACAGGTAAAAATAGTATGGGGGGAAAAGGCATCGGAAACAGTTACCCGCAACCATTTTTTCCATTTCCCCAAAGGGTGCACCACTTTTCCACAGGGGGGGGGGGCTCAATCAGAGTAGCGGAGGCACTGCCCCCCCCCCCCCCCTACCCACCTTTGTCTGGAGCCCTGTTGTACCCCAGCAACCCAGGGCCAGTGTGGGTACTCCCGTATCTATTCCAGCATCACATGGCCAGTGTGGCTGCTAAATACTGTCTATTCCAGCACCACATGGCCAGTTTGACTGCTAAATACTGTCTATTCCAGCACCACATGGCCAGTTTGACTGCTAAATACTGTCTATTCCAGCACCACATGGCCAGTGTGGCTGCTGCTATATAGTACTGTTGTTTTCATTGCTTCACTCAGCCAGCCTTCAGCCAGCCTTCAGACTAATGAACAGGCAACACTGGGTAGTTTTGTTGCCCTCAGTATCATCATGTGCCGAGAACAGGGAGGAGGGGGGGGGGGGGGGTCACCCCTTCGGGCTGAGATAATGGTCTTAGTTTCAAGATGCCAGCGTTATTCTTCTCATCCTGTGGCTGTTCATTCACATGGTACAGATTTTCACAGGGTATCCAGTGTTACATGCAAACCCACACACACAATAATATTCCCAAACCCTAGCACCTAGCCCGGTGCCTTGTTACATTTGATGACTTTCATGCCAGGATAATCTTCAGTGCCCGTTGTTACTGTCCACCAGCACTTGTATAAAAGTGGCTGACGTGAAATCTTCCATGTGTTCTCAATTTCTTATTGTTTTGCTGTTGCAGGCAATACTGGTACCCTGGGCCAGCTCGCAGAGTAAGCTACATAATCATACTACCACTGTCTGTGTCTTAATCATACTACCACTGTCTGTGTTAATCATGCTACCACTGTCTGTGTCTTAATCATACTACCACTGTCTGTGTTAATCATACTACCACTGTCTGTGTTAATCATACTACCACTGTCTGTGTTAATCATACTACCACTGTCTGTGTTAATCATGCTACCACTGTCTGTGTTAATCATACTACCACTGTCTGTGTTAATCATACTACCACTGTCTGTGTTAATCATGCTACCACTGTCTGTGTTAATCATACTACCACTGTCTGTGTTAATCATACTACCACTGTCTGTCTTAATCATGCTACCACTGTCTGTGTTAATCATACTACCACTGTCTGTGTTAATCATACTACCACTGTCTGTGTTAATCATACTACCACTGTCTGTGTTAATCATACTACCACTGTCTGTGTTAATCATACTACCACTGTCTGTGTTAATCATACTACCACTGTCTGTGTTAATCATACTACCACTGTCTGTGTTAATCATGCTACCACTGTCTGTGTTAATCATACTACCACTGTCTGTGTTAATCATACTACCACTGTCTGTCTTAATCATGCTACCACTGTCTGTGTTAATCATACTACCACTGTCTGTGTTAATCATACTACCACTGTCTGTGTTAATCATACTACCACTGTCTGTGTTAATCATACTACCACTGTCTGTGTTAATCATACTACCACTGTCTGTGTTAATCATGCTACCACTGTCTGTGTTAATCATACTACCACTGTCTGTGTTAATCATACTACCACTGTCTGTGTTAATCATACTACCACTGTCTGTGTTAATCATACTACCACTGTCTGTGTTAATCATACTACCACTGTCTGTGTCTTAATCATACTACCACTGTCTGTGTTAATCATACTACCACTGTCTGTGTTAATCATACTACCACTGTCTGTCTTAATCATACTACCACTGTCTGTGTTAATCATACTACCACTGTCTGTGTTAATCATACTACCACTGTCTGTGTTAATCATGCTACCACTGTCTGTGTCTTAATCATGCTACTGCTGCTGCCTGTGCTGCATAATCTGAATATGCTGAAGAATGCTGTCAATGTGCAGAGTTCATGAGACATACTGTTGCATGGGAGCTGTAGGGTATGGAGAGAGGGAAACTGAAGCATCGACACCAGACCTTCTTGTACCAACGTATATATATACAGGTAGCTGGCGTGACACATGGATGACACACACACACATGGATGGCACACACACACACACACACACGCGTGGATGGCACACACACACATGGATGGCACACACACACATGGATGGCACACACACACACATGGATGGCACACACACACACATGCCCTGTATTATGCTTAAAGGGGGTATCTACTCTATACTGCCCATGTGTCATAGAGGACTGGTTATAATGCTGATTTTTGATTCTGCAGGGAACTGGGTACTGGGAACTGGGTAGATTGGTTGAATCTAGTACATGTTATGAATGTATTTGTATACCCTGAGTGTGTGGTGCAATGTGCTGTGGTGCTGTGGTGCTGTGGTGTTGTGGTGCTGTGGTGTTCGACTGTTTATTGTTTATTGTTTATTGTTTATTGTTTATTGTTTATTGTTTAGCACCACCTACAATAACTGTAACTACACAACCTCGGAGCCAGGATGCCAGGCTGGATCAGCTCAGGCCAATAGTATTTTCGTAAGTCGAAACTCATCTCTACTCGTATGTACTCGTATGTACTCATAATTATGCCTTGCATGCGGCTTGCATAGGGGCTTGCATAGGGGCTTGCATAGGGGCTTGCATAGGGGCTTGTATAGGGGCTTGTATAGGGGCTTGCATAGGGGCTTGCATAGGGGCTTGTATAGGGGCTTGTATAGGGGCTTGCATAGGGGCTTGCATAGGGGCTTGCATAGGGGCTTGTATAGGGGCTTGCATAGGGGCTTGCATAGGGGCTTGCATAGGGGCTTGCATAGGGGCTTGCATAGGGGCTTGCATAGGGGCTTGCATAGGGGCTTGTATAGGGGCTTGCATAGGGGCTTGCATAGGGGCTTGCATAGGGGCTTGCCACGAGCCTGGATAGGACTTGCATAGGGCTTGCATAGTCAGGGCTCACCACGACCATACAAAATTCAAAAAGCGTCGACCACCATTTTGAAAAATGGCGATTGCCGCACAGGCCAGCGTTGGTGCAGGCATAGCGGCTACGCACCCGAGTTCGTGCTGATCAATGTACAGCGATGTACAGTAGAGTTGTAAAATACATGTTCCGACTCCCTGGTCTAGTCTATACAGCGAAGGGCCAGTGCCGAAGAGAATCTTTTATTTTATTTTATTTTTTACAAAGACCACTTAAATGCCAAACATGAGATGCAGCTAGGGGAAGCACACACAACCTGAATCGTTGCAGTGGTGGTTAGGTTCTTGTTTGATGCCGGGAAAGACACGAGCAGAAGTCATCCTTTCTCGAAGCCATCTTGGTCATTTTTCTCAATCCGCTACTGGATGCCGACCAAGATATAATGTCCGTGAGATACTGGTGAACTGGAGTCCTGGCATCTACACGATTCTGCCGCTCCTAGCTAACCAATGTTGTCAGTAGAACTCAGCGTTTCCTGATCACGGCTCGGCACACTCTTTTCTGATTGACCTTGCGGCTTTCACCCTGCGAGTGCGGAGTTTCCTGGCCACAAATGAATTCCCTAGTCATGACCATGATGACAAGTGACTGGTATGATCCCCGACTGGCCTGAGTCCTTAGTTTGAGTCAACACGAAGGTAAACTCTTCACTTGGAACGCCTGCTGTCTCCTCGGTCCTTTCTTGTTTCACCTGTAGATATGCGCACGGCTGCCAGGTTTTGTTGGTGCGTGCGGGAACGCGTGGCCGACCTTGATGTCTTAAAAAAAGTACTTCAGCGGTTCTACTTGGCCGATTCTCACCGTCGATTGCTCATTTTCAAGGTCTTGGAATTCTCTATCGGTTTACCGTCTCCGATTTTTATATTTTGTCTTCCTTCGAGTTTGAGTGATTTCACCATCCGATCTCAGCCAACCGAAGGCCAAATCGAAAAATTCGAAACGGTATCCCTCGAAAGACACACCTTCTGAACACGAATCCACAATGGCCTAATGTCTAAAACCAACGAGCACAGCCAAGTTCAGCTCAGAAAACACCCCACAATTGCAAGAAACAGCCCGTTTTGCCGTGCGCTGATTGGTCAGATCCAAATGACCGTTATTGACGCTTTGTACGGTCGTGGTGAGCCCTGACAGTACTTGACTGCTTGAACAGATTCGAGACAGTAAACCTTGTGGAAATGTGTTATCATTTGTCAGTGGTTCATACCCGTCTGGTTGGAAGAAGTTGTTATTCACGAGGCTATTGTCCACAAGGTTGCAGGCGCGTGCTCGGCGATGGGCACGGGGGGGGGGGGGGGGGGGCACGTGCACCCCCCAAAAATTTTCAATCTGGGTAATTGCAATTGTAATGTATGCAAATATGCTCTAAAATTCAAGAAAGGTTGCAAACAAATTGCAGAAAATTGCCGGGGGGGGGGGGGCTCCCCTCGGCTCCCATGCACCCCCCTAGTTGGGGGGCCGAGCACGCCCCTGGACCGTTGTACTTCATAACGGTGACTTCAGTACATTCTGATCCACTGGAATACCGCTACGCACAGGATATAGCCATGTCACATCAGAATAATGTCTCCACTTGCATATTGTTGCTGCTCGACTCTTGTGGATCCCTTCTTTAGGCATTCTGTAGGCATGCTAGCTTGATCTGTACATTCTGTCACTGAACTCTGTGCACACAGCCAACTCACAGAACTACTGACCTGGCATAATGCCCTGCCCCCCGTCCTCTCCCTGTCTGTGAGTCATACTAACATTCACTGCAAGAACTCAATTCCCATATCCCTGCTGTGAACATCCACCCCGGTTACACTCTCTGTTCACCCACCACACACGCACGCACGCACACACACACACACACACACACACACACACACACACGCACACACACGCACACGCACGCATGCACGCACACGCACACACACACACACACACACACACACGCACACACACACGCACACACACACGCATGCACGCACACACACACACACACACACACACACACACACACGCAAACACACACACACCAAACACCTTATCAACACACCATGCTGATGTATCCAGTCCAAATAGGGATTCATTGGCCAGAAAAAGCCACTTCAAACAGCTGTGTGGTGTAGACCAGGCTAAAATCAGTGGCGGTTAATTCATCAGCTTTGCAAGCTGTTGAATGGTGTAATCCCAGGACAAATTGCTATGTCTCACATAGCTTCTTGTTGTTCGCTTCAGCGATGGACATGATATGAGCGTGTGTTTGTGTGTGTTTTTGTGTGTGTTTTTGTGGGTGTTTTTGTGGGTGTTTGTGTGTGTGTTTTTGTGGGTGTTTTGTGCGTGCACGCATGTACTCGTATGTGTGTTCATATGTTGACAGTATGTCAGTACGAGGTGGTAATGGTGACCTTACATTCACCTGGCGATTCAATGGCACAACCATTGTACAGACATCATCACCATACAACAATGATGGGTAAGGCTATGCTTGCTCTTCTGTCAGTTTCGACATACCTCCTATTTACAAGCGGAACAATTTTATGCGTTTCCTAGGAAAGAATATTTTTATTCTCTCAACTGTTGCAAGTACAGCGATTGCCTAAGGCATTGGAGTAGGTATTATCAAGAGTCCACAAACCCAAGAGTGGTCTGGCTGCTGTAGGCCCACTGCGCGGCGGAATTCCAACATTACGTTATGTCGCTGAGGCACAGCTGTACAAAACTCCGCATTCCGCGGTGCTTGGAACAAGGGAGCAGTACAAGCGCAACGAACGTGTACGTCATTTTTGAAGTAATGTAGGAAGTCCGCCGTGCGGATCCTCATGTACAGAGTTGCACACTCTTGGGGTTATGGACTCTTGGTATAATCCTAATGTCTGACTTTAGTCCATGATAATAATATAGTGGCTAATAGCTTACGTGAGTTTTAACGGAAAACATTTACTATGTGTATTGCTTTGTCACACAAAATTCAATTTTTGGGTGTAAGGAACAATCGGTTTGTGGCCAAAATTTCGCTGTGATAACTGAACACCCCACAATGGAGTGGTGTGGGGGGGGAGGGGCGCTTCAGAGTAGGGGAGGTGGGGGAGGGGCGCTGCAGAGTAGGGGAGGTGGGGGAGGGGCGCTGCAGAGTAGGGGAGGTGATGGCGCCCCCCCCCCCCCCCCCCCACCTCTATCTGAAGGTTTACAGTAGAGACAGTATAGGTAGAAGCAAGGTGAAGTGCAAGAGTGCACACCACACTGTTGTCTTGCTACTTGCTCTTCAGAAGATTGGATTGGGTTGTAGCAGGAAACATTGAGTAGGCGAGCAGATTGTAGAAAAATGTTTCCGCTGAGATTTGTCTGTTATGAGGCACTGTAGTTCTGACTAATCCTTACCTGCATTAAGTACCCTGCTCTGTTGACATGGTAACACTCTATGCTGTACAGAGCAACGGCAGTCCTTTCCAACCAGACATCAGTAAAATCTACGTTCAATGTGTGCCCAGCAAGATGTACTCACTTTCATGTACTGTTACGTACTTGAAGAAGACAGTAGGTGGTCATGAAGGACAAAGGACGTCAGTTTAATTCAATGACATGTAATTTGATCGTTGAGGGTGGTAGCATTCATATGGATGCGCAAAACTCAGCCTCCTGATGAGTCTCACGTGAACCGTGATTTTATTTATATATATATTTTTATATTAACTGGTTTGAGGGAAAGAGACAAACGGGAAAGGTCTGAAGAAAAAATTGACTGTCACCACTAGGACTCGAACCAGGGACCCTCGCTTGTAGCCAGCGATGCTCTAACCACTGAGCTATGGTGTAGTCGTCATCCCAGCAGAGGCCTTTCAACATTTTCTTCAGACTTCGTAACTCACACTTCCTGTGAATCTACACAGGCGGGTGGGACGCAGCCCTCACTGTAACCCACACATTTCACGTACAAACTAGCACGCGGGGAGCCCCAAGTCATAAAATATTAACTGGTTTGAGGGAAAGAGACAAACGGGAAAGGTCTGAAGAAAAAATTTTATGTGAAAAGAATTCGGGTGGACACACCCATTCCCATAGCGCTGCACATCACATCCGAACCAGTTCCGTTATTTTTACAACGTTTCGGCACTTGGCCATCGTCAGGTAATAACAATGAATGATTATATTTTTTATGTACATACAATGTATGTGCATGTATGTGCGTGCACGCGTATGTGCCTGCTTGTGTATGTGCTGTGTGTGTGTGTGTGTGTGTGTGTGTGTGTGTGTATATGTCTGTGTATTGACTACTTCCAGTAACGTGATAACAGACACATTCACCGTTGACCCAAGAACAGTGACCGGTGGATACTCATCCTTTCTCGGAACGTATACCTGCCAGGTTGAGGATTCTGGATTCCCAGCAGCAACTGTCACGTCAACTCCTGCAGCACTGAATCCCGTCTGTAAGGAAAACCTCTGTGTGTATATATGTGTGTGTGTGTGTGTATGTGTGTGCGTGCGTGTGTATGTGTGTGCACGTGTGAGTGTGTGTGCGTGTATGTTTGTGCACATGTGAGTGTGTATACATAGGTTTTGTCATAGTCTCCTGCAATTCTACTGAGCTGCTCAACGAAGACTGACCATGTGTGATTTTGCAACGACATTGTTTCCCCATGCCTCTCCCTGAGTCTGTCTTCAATCAGTAGCATCGTAAACATTCATCCGTATCTATTCTTGCTCCTATTTTGCTGTTTGGCTATCTACTGTTTGGCTATCTACTGTTTGGCTATCTACTGTTTGGCTATCTACTGTTTGGCTATCTACTGTTTGGCTATCTACTGTTTATCTATCTACTGTTTGGCTATCTACTGTTTGGCTATCTACTGTTTATCTATCTACTGTTGGATGTCATGGGTTTGCTAACTGTACGTTTGGTCGTAGGTCCTTCTCATGTGGAGAGCTGCACTCTGGATTAATATGTTTCTGGCTCTACGTAGTCAAGTGGTTTGCTTCACTGTCCGAAGAGTGCTCATTACCCATATGGGGGGGGGGGGGGGTATGTTTCTGCCTTTCTTTCCGTTTATCTTGATATGTTTCTGGTTTTCTTTCTGTTTATCTATCTACCCATCTTACTCGTTACGTATGCCGGTCTGTGTTTGTGTGTGTGTGTGTTTGTTTGTGTGCGTGTGTGCGTGCGTGTCTGTGTGTGTGTTCCATTGTGCATAATGAACAGATGTACCATACTTTACATCAGCACCACAGGACAGAAGTGGTAACTTGACGTCATCCGTAACGTTTGTTTGTGTTGCTGATGCAAAACCAGCGCCAGTCTACAAGGTGATGACCTCATCCTCTTTATGCCTAGTCTGAATGCTGGACTCACTAGATCTTTGCAGTGCACCTGGATACTGTGCGAACAAGTACTTTGCAGTGCACCTGAATACTGTGCGAATAAGTACTTTGCAGTGCACCTGAATACTGTGCGAATAAGTACTTTGCAGTGCACCTGAATACTGTGCGAATAAGTACTTTGCAGTGCACCTGAATACTGTGCGAATAAGTACTTTGCAGTGCACCTGAATACTGTGCGAATAAGTACTTTGCAGTGCACCTGAATAAAGATTTAGCAAGTCAGTATTCCTATTACATTGTATGCATATCTCTCCATGACCCATGTTGCAAGGGTTTGGTCTCTCCATGACCCATGTTGCAAGGGTTTGGTCTCTCCATGACCCATGTTGCAAGGGTTTGGTCTCTCCATGACCCATGTTGCAAGGGTTTGGTCTCTCCATGACCCATGTTGCAAGGGTTTGGTCTCTCCATGATCCATGTTGCAAGGGTTTGGTTGCAGCTGCATATCTCTCCATGACCCATGTTGCAAGGGTTGGTCTCTCCATGACCCATGTTGCAAGGGTTTGGTCTCTCCATGACCCATGTTGCAAGGGTTTGGTCTCTCCATGACCCATGTTGCAAGGGTTTGGTCTCTCCATGACCCATGTTGCAAGGGTTTGGTCTCTCCATGACCCATGTTGCAAGGGTTTGGTCTCTCTATGACCCATGTTGCAAGGGTTTGGTCTCTCCATGACCCATGTTGCAAGGGTTTGCTTGCAGCTGGCACATGTAAACAGAGCCCCATACTTCACATTTCTGGTTTGTTGGCTTATCCACATCTGAGAGCTGAGGAGTCTACAGAAAACCCAAATCCGATGCTCTCTCTTTTTTTCTTTTTTTTATCGATTCTAAATCCTCTCCTCTCCTGTCTTCTCATGACTGATTGTGTTGATTATTGTGCAGTGGAAAAAGAACGGCGATCTCTTACTAGCAGAGACTCAAACACAGTTGACAGTACAGCTGACTAATGCATCGCAGGATGGTACAAACTACACTTGTGAGGCCAGCAATAGTCTGTCATTCATATCCGCTACAGCACGCCTGACTGTCATCAGCCGTAAGTTATGGATATCTACTAGCTCTCAAACTTGCAGGTAGACAGTGCAGAGACATAATAATCTATGTGCAGTGCATATATTATTATTATGCCTTTACTTATCCCAGCATACCTGTGTGTATGGTGTTGAAGGCTGAACAAGTTTTCCTCAGCAACTGCATTTCAAGCAAAGACTATCCGCAGACAATGATTCTTCTACTTGTATAAAGAACATCTATTTCCCCAGCATCAATCACAGTGTGAACACTGGGTGTTTCCCCAGCATCAATCACAGTGTGAACACTGGGTGTTCCCCCAGCATCAATCACAGTGTGAACACTGGGTGTTTCCCCAGCATCAATCACAGTGTGAACACTGGGTGTTTCCCCAGCATCAATCACAGTGTGAACACTGGGTATTTCCCCAGCCTCAATCACAGTGTGAACACTGGGTGTTTCCCCAGCCTCAATCACAGTGTGAACACTGGGTGTTTTCCCAGCATCAATCACAGTGTGAACACTGGGTATTTCCCCAGCATCAATCACAGTGTGAACACTGGGTATTTCCCCAGCATCAATCACAGTGTGAACACTGGGTGTTTCCCCAGCATCAATCACAGTGTGAACACTGGGTGTTTCCCCAGCATCAATCACAGTGTGAACACTGGGTGTTTCCCCAGCATCAATCACAGTGTGAACACTGGGTGTTTCCCCAGCATCAATCACAGTGTGAACACTGGGTGTTTCCCCAGCATCAATCACAGTGTGAACACTGCGTATTTCCCCAGCATCAATCACAGTGTGAACACTGGGTGTTTCCCCAGCATCAATCACAGTGTGAACACTGGGTATTTCCCCAGCCTCAATCACAGTGTGAACACTGGGTGTTTCCCCAGCATCAATCACAGTGTGAACACTGGGTATTTCCCCAGCATCAATCACAGTGTGAACACTGGGTATTTCCCCAGCATCAATCACAGTGTGAACACTGGGTGTTTCCCCAGCATCAATCACAGTGTGAACACTGGGTGTTTCCCCAGCATCAATCACAGTGTGAACACTGGGTGTTTCCCCAGCATCAATCACAGTGTGAACACTGGGTGTTTCCCCAGCATCAATCACAGTGTGAACACTGGGTGTTTCCCCAGCATCAATCACAGTGTGAACACTGGGTGTTTGCCACTGGTCACATAAAATGTAGATGCTCTTGAAGACATTTGTGTTTTGTGTTTGTGCTTGTGTGTGTGCTTGTGTGTGTGTGTGTGTGTGTGTGTGTGTGTGTGTGTGTATATATGTGTGCGTGCGTGCGTGTGTGTGGGTGGGCGGGCGCGGGTGTGGGCGCTTTTGGATGTGAGTGTGGTTCGAGGTATGTGGAAGTGCACGTGCATGTGGATGTGTGGATGTGCATGTGTGTTCGTTGCTTCTGTGCATATGTATATGTTGTGTAGGTTTCCCGTATTTCATCACCACCCTACCCTACAACGCCTCAGTGAACTATGGCTTACAGCACACGATGAGATGCCTGGCAGCTGGTACTCCCGGTGTCACATATCAGGTACATACTATAGCCATGGTATCATTGTGTGCTACAGTGCATTTCTAAAATATAGACGCGTGATTTCAAAAAAACATTAAACCAGCATCTATACCACATAAAATCTGTGAGCACTTTGAGCATAACAATTTCGAAATTGGGTGTTTCCTATCCGATCGCTTAAAAATCTATATGAGAGCAATTGCGGGAAGGACCTGAGCAATATTCCGAAAAAATGCTCAAAAATTTCCAGCCAAATTTGAAATATTTCAAAAATACCATATGTCTATATTTTTGAAATGGACTGTAGTGTGCGTGTGTGTGGCGGGGGGGGGGGGGGTGCGTGATGACTACCATACAATAGAGGGGTGAAGGAACCACGCTCTCCATTTTAAAACAACTCTCTCCTCATACTCACGATGCTTAGAATCCTCGTGTTGTTTGTAGAGAGTGCTGAGAGCTTTGAAGCTATAGAAATGGGCATCAGCCAGGATTAGGCATCTACCAGGAATGGGCATCTCGGAAAAACCCTTACTTAAAACAACCTCCTTCCCACAGCTGCATAACCCCGGACACTCACATTCAATCTAGCACCCTCACGATGACGTTTGCTGTCCGAAAGAGAAATCGCTCGTCAGCCGTCAGGCGAAATTACTGGTCAGTCGGCGACACGCATTTTTCACAAAAATTTGCTTTTCACCTGCGGTGAGAGTATGCGTGTACTCGAGTCTCATCCTGAGCAATTTTTTTCTCCTTTTTTTCAGCTCCAGTATAGCTGTATTTTTCATTGCAAAGCCGTCCTCGATTGTTGTGTTCGTTGTTCAAACGAAGTGGACATTCAATCATGATGGCAGAGGACATAGGAGCCTGATTGGAGTTTCTCGTGGCATAGGACGGCCACACAGAGACACTTTGGGATTTTCTGAATATAAAATACCGTACGCACGATGCTGAGAACAATTTGTGCGATATCAAATTGTTTGTGATCTACCACATCGAGCAGAACGGGATCCAAACCACAAGCTTACCGACGGTTAGGCTGCCGACCTGACTGGACAAATGATCCCTGGCTTCACCAGACGCCAGAAGTCGGACACCATGACCTTTGCCGAGACGTCCATCTCCAAAAAGAACTCCATCTTCGTCGTGAAAAGGCTTGAAATACTTAATATTCAACCGAGATTCGCGGTCTCACCCTTTCTCAGATCGAATCATTTTTTGTTGTAGCAGTTGCAGGGCAGATCCCCGCCACTACTTCAACAGAAGATGGCTCCAAAGCATGCCTGGAACAAGCCATATCGAGGTTGCAAGCCACCCCTCTCAGCAAAAAATCGAAGAAATTCGAAATTTCAACGGTGGAAGATATACTATGAAGAGAATTTCAAAAAGTTTGTTTCGCAGAGCGATCGCTCAACCTACGTCATTCAAACTTTGCAGGATGATTCAGACGTACATGCTAGGCATGGAACCACAGAAGATGATATCATAGCTGACACACAGAGTTACACACACAGCAGATTCGTGTGCACAGATACTAAATTAGTGGACGTCGTCATCTTCTTCCCGCTGATCTCAAATGTACTATGACGTGCTATTTCGCCTGACGGAGACGTGTGAGTGCTGTCTCCATGCCAACTGCTCAACAAACCATTGTCAGCTCCTTCACCAGGAGATGGCGAACCTCATTGTATTGGTGGATGGGAAATCCCTCATGACTGCAACACAGCTGGTGCTCCACCGAAACCTCCTGTCTGCATAATACAGGACTTAGGCGTGAACTGCAGCGACCATGCATACCGTAAATCAACGGCGTCCGGAAAATCCCTCCTCGATAAACTAAACCAATGCTTCGTAATGGGCAAAGCAGCTAGCCACCACGAGGCACCCTTTTCCAATAACTGGAGAATCTACCTCCTCTCGCGATCCTCCAGCCTGTCAGTGACTGCCTTCGCCGCAGACACAGCTTCACATCTCTTCAGTGCATGAGTCTGGGCCTTCCACTCCGCCAGGGCATTCACCATTAACGCCACAGGAGACACTGAGAGAGGAGCGGAGGTAGCATTGCCACCATTCTCGGACACTCCACGCCTGAGATT